ATAATGAACTTGAAATCAGGAAGTGTACTCATACCAAAACTTCATGCCACTTATCCCACCTACTAACCCCTGTACTTGAGGACAATCTGTCGTCCCTAGGCTCGGCCTCGACAAGATCCTCAAGACCACCCTACTAATACCAAAGCCTCACCATCTCATCATAAAAAAAACAACTTTAAAGTTCCGCCGCATTAGGTCCGCCAAGTTTCCTTCCCGTCATGCTAAGAAAATTACGTCAAGTGCTAAACACAATCAGACTCGCCTTTATTACGTCAAAGCCATCGCCTCTATACACTTCTGCCAAAATGAACACACAACCAGGTAGGCTTTCAATTACTGCTCTTTCCAAACATACCGCTAGGTGTCGTCCTTACACTGTAGGCCTGTGTCCCACAATGCACCTCACTCAACTTTGACCTGCCCCATTGCATGACGGGAAACAAAATGGCGGCGCCCATAAAATCCAGGTAAAATAGAACAGGTTTTGCTATCGCAAACCTGTAATTACAAGTAACCCGGTGCCCCCCTCCCCATTTCTCCACGGAACTTCCTTACCACGATCACGGTTGGGAGACGTCACCAGATGCACCATTTTCTTCAGAAGTCTTCTAAGTAGTGTTATCATTTGCACACATGAAGCAGTCGACAGCCCCCCTCCCACTCTCCTATACCAAAACCACCGGTACTTTCCACTTTACTGCATTTTTGTGAGGTCTGTGGAAGCAAATACGTCATCTAAACAACACCACGAAAGCTATACTTACTTTCTCTTCCCTCTCGCCATCGTTGGAGTCTAAAAAGTCCCCAAATTACGAAAAAATTTCGTCAGAAAAGCGCAAACACATGTGCGTGCGTGCTCTGCGAGGTTAAAGGTCAACGAGGGTCATCGACCCCGACCCTCGCGGAACCACGCGAGATTTTAATGTTGTAGCAACAATCTCGAAGGGAAATCCAGAGACGAAGTTGTGGCAGGTTTTCAGGTAAAATGATGGTCGTTTTGAGTCTATAACTTTGGATACAAAGATCTCTAGCTTCAAGAAGTAACAATCTGATCATATAGAAAGTGTGATGATGTTTTATATGATATTCAATGACAAAATCATGGACATGATAGCGTTGTCAAAGTGTGTGGGGGAGGGGGGTAGCATCAAAATCATATCTTTGGCCACAGCAAGTAAATTTTATGGATGACATCCTATGCAGACTCCAAATCTAATGCGAGCGGGCAAAAAAAAGTTCCTACATTTAAAAATTTTGACTCAGTCAATCATTGTGCAAATGGTTTCGATTCAGTGGGAACATCACATATATACAGCCACTACCACTACTCACTCACTATCCTGGTTATACTGCTGCCGGTTTCCCTGTCCCAGGGGTGGGCAGCAGTCGGCTGTTCTGGACACCACGCCTCCAGTTAGCTCTGTCCTGTAGGTCTGTGCTAGACAGACCACACTCCTTGATATCCTTGCCAGCATCACATTATTCACATATCACCCACTTTTTGCCTACCGGTTGCTGGCTGTTGCTTATATGATTAACAGGTGAATATTCGGTATAGGTATAGTCAGTATAACCGCCCTTCGGCGTAACACACCAGCTTCTGTATCGGTATAGCCGGTATAACCGCCCTTCGGCGTAACACACCAGCTTCTGTATCTGTATAGCTGGTATAACCGCCCTTCGGTGTAACACACCAGCTTCTGTATCTGTATAGCCGGTATAACCGCCCTTCGGTGTAACACATCAGCTTTGCAGGCACGCGGCGTGGCGGCAGCTGGCTATATTACACTGAGCGACCTATCCCTTGAATATCCAACTCTAAATATTGTTTAAACTTTTAATGCTACCAGTATCTAATGATAGAACATTGTTCTTCAGTGAAAAGATAACAGCACAGAGCCACCATGAGCAGCCCGGGTGTACTACTGGACCGGTATAAGGAGGTGTGCAAGACTGAAGGCATCCCCGTCCACAAATATATCCTCAAGGTCTTGGGGAAAGCACAGGATGACTATATAAGGTAAGTAAACAGAGATTTACCCTATATGTATATCTGAAAGTTACAAAAGGTACACTGAGAAAATAGAGAACTGAATAATCACCTAATCAAGTATACTGTAATGCAAATAAACTATCTGCTTAAAGTTAGATTTATGATTAGTGAAGTATTGTTTGGCGTGTCTGTGTGTCTGTCCATCTGTGTCTTGGTGTAGTCCAGTTTTGGTATGTTCCAGCACAGAGAAAAGTGCAGTTTCTGTAAGTTCCAACAGAGGACATATTGCAGTTCCTGTATGTACTGCTAGAGGGTGCTTACCAGCATTGTCTAATAGATTCTTTATTGACACAACAAGAAGTACAGGGACTTTTGTATGGTCTTCTACAACTTAAGATCTAACAAAGTTAAATACATGGATGACCTTCCTATGTTAACAGTACAGAATATATGTATGTGGCAAATTATGTACAGAATATGTATCAGTGATAACAATTAAGGTTTAATTAGTCTCTAAGATTGAAACATTCTTTAATGATGTATTTTCCTATTTGCCCATTGCAGCGAGCCCAGTGATGAGATGACCCTTGACCTGGCGGGGAACAACAAACTTCTGACGGATGTGCGGCTGGAGGACAGGGACATGGTGCCGCTGTGTCAGACCCTGGCCAACAGCACGTTTGTGTCCCGGCTGGACCTCAGGTACAACAACATCACTGACGAGGGAGCAAAGCACCTGGGCAAACTCATAGAGGTGAGGCAAAACAATACAGGAGTTTTCTTGTACACAACCAAAATTTCTCACCTAACTGCTGATGCAACCAGCTACATGTACATCAACTACCGTGATATAGCGGTGAGAAGCAGGACTCCAGTCAGAAGCTCTAAAGAAGGTGTCTGATAGGCAGGTTTCTCAGTTATTCTAATGCAAAAGTCCCATTTTCTATTACGAATTTTAGATTGTGGTTGGATATTTTGAGCCATGAAATTGTAAATTGTTCAGATTTCTATCAAATTGAATGTTTTTGTGTTGCAGACATCTGTGTCCCTGCGTTTCCTGAATGTGATGTGTAACGACATCGGACCAGAGGGTGCAGAACATATTGCCAGGGGCTTACATGTAACTTCTCATTTTACTCATAAAATCTTATCTTCTTTCAGTGTCTTTAGAATCTGATAAATGAATAGATTTGCTCCCAGTATAAACTACATTTTGTAGTTATTGTACTGGTATTATACATGTATAAACTGCTGGCCTGCTTTGTGTTGAAAGTTGAAACATCAGCACTTTTTGCAAAATGTTAGTCTCATGCTCAAGATTATGTAAAAAAAAACTGTCCTAAGTTTTAGCAACTTGCCTGTTTAAAACTGTCAAGTTTTTATAGAACAAGCAACAACCCTTGCCTAAAACATATCAGTTTGTTTGCCTGTACAGTGTACATGGATTCAAAGTCAACCCAAGAATCTCTAACATACATAATGTAATTGTAAGACTAAAATTTGAATTTTTTTATTATTTTCATCTTTAATGTCCAGACAAATGAGACTCTGTCGGAGTTGAAAGTAAACGGCAACAAGATCGGGAACAAAGGAGGGATGTTTTTTGCATCAGCTCTGCAGATCAACACGGGAATAGAACAACTGGACCTGGGGGACGCAGATCTGGTAAGTCAGTTGTTTGTTTAGGCCTAGGAAAAAAACATGTTGTTTTATGTTTCAGTCCTGAAAAAATAGGGTTGCTAGGTAGGGATTATCTTTCTTTTTAATTGACTTATCTAACTTGAACAACAGTCTGAGAGCTAATTAGTAATTAACAAAGCAAAGCTTCCACGAGGACACTTTTATTTTCAATGTCAACATTGGAAAACTGATTGTGAAAGTTTCATCACTCACACTCATGTATCAGATCATGGAGCTAGAAAAGGTCGATCAGCTGGTATGTGGCTGGCTTTTAGGTGACAACTAGGTTGGTTTTTTAGTTGTTTGCTGGATACTACGGTTTGTTGTGTATCATTGAGTGTTTGTGTTATGTTTTCCCTTGTGTAGGGCACAGAAAGTGTGATTGCTCTGGCCACCATCCTCCACTACAACAAGTTTCTGAAGGCCCTGAACGTCAACCGGCCTCTACTCTTCACTCACCAGGCAAGTACTGATACAGTCACAGTCTTATTAAGTTTACCGAAGGAAAACATATTGTTTTTGCTCTGTTTCTTCCTCTTCTTCTTCTTCAGTGACCTCTGACCTGACCAATGACATGTTGATGTCTGTCACCATGGCGACTGGTGTTGGGTTACATAATGTTGCAATTTCATGGTCTGCTCTGCACCTGTCACCATATACTAGTAGTACACGTATGTGAATGTGTTTGGGGAAGAATTAACAGAGCAGACCATGTCCGAAGGTAAACATTATGCATTTGCTTTGCAAATGTTACTTCTCTAGTCTTGGAAGTTCATCTGTGTTGGTAGAAGTCATTTTGAAACAAGATTTAACTGTAATTGCCAACACACAAAATTTTCGTCATGTTTTGTTGTGATGCAGGAGGAGACGACAGTCCACATGGCCAACATGCTGAAGGTGAACACCACCCTGCGGGAGATTCACCTGCAGAAATACGACATGCGAGACTTCGGCGCCGAGAGACTTGTGGAGACCCTACAGGAGAACATCGCACTAACGTACCTCGACCTCAGCTGGTGAGTTTCTGTATCTGTATAGCCAGTACTCAAGCCAAGCCAAGAGAGAGAGAGATAGCCCGTATAACCGCCCTTCGGCATAACACACCAGCTTTGCAGGCTTCAACCTTTCGAGCCCTGTCACACTTATGTGTATCATCAACAGGTCCTTGTAGTAAACCATAATCTACTGTTCAACACACATATTGTACAATGTATATTGTACAGTCATACACAGTGCATGTATATATGGGTCTAGCTGTCCTTCAATGTTATGACTAGAGAGAGAACAGCATATTCTGAAACTGGTTGAAGAATTTAAGAACAGGTCTTTCAGGAGTTGCGGGAGGATGTAAGGTCTACAATCGTAAGGTCTCTCAGGTGTTTCTGTTGTGGCCAAATGACGGCTAAGAATTTCCTGCACCTGTTGCCACCTGCAGTAACAGAATAACCCGGGACGGTGCCAAACACCTGTCCAAGCTGCTGAAGAAGAACACGCCACTTCAGGTGCTGGACCTGGGCTTCAACAGGATTGAAGATGACGGAGCTATCTACCTGAGCGAAGCACTCAAACACTTCAACACAAACCTACACACGTGAGTACTTACCTATCCTATCATTCCTTGCGACACATAAGGCTGAGACTTTTCCCTTCCATCTGAGTCAAACCTGACCAAAGTGACATCTAGAGGGAGTGTAAGTAGTAATATGCAACTGTAGATCTTCCAGGGTAGTTAACACTGTCAGTCTTTAACACAAATAGCAGTTCTTACTTTTGGACCCTGGAGGCCAAGCTATTTACACATTTTAGGTCACAAATAGGCATTATGATTAGTGTGAAATTATTTAGGTACAGTACCGTTACTGAGGTATTTTGGGCCTGTATTTCGGGCCTGAATTTTTAAGGTACGTGTACCGGTACACAGCTCTAATGTATACCCTATACATTATTATGAACAGTAGTGAAGACTCTTTCTTGTCCTCAGACTTGTGATCACCCACAACTGTATCCGGGGTACGGGGCTGGTAGCTGTGGCTGACGCCATGAAGACCAACACTAGTCTGTACAGTGTGTTCATCTGCGTGTGTGGTGAGTTGAACAGTTAGAATTTAGCCTGGGTGCCATCCTATTTGTATGCCAAGGCTCCTATTTTTAGGGAACAAGTATGGAAGCCCTGGCATACAAATAGGATGGCACCCTAGCTAACTGGTAGTTATAATTCTTCAGTGTGATTAAAACAGCTCAAAATAGTAAAATGTGGATATGGATTTTGTTCTAAAATCTACCTATTATATAGTAATAGTATATATTATGATTGTGTCTTCTAAAATTTACCTCTTATGTAGTGATAGTATATATTATGATTGTGAACGTTTTGTCTGTCATTAGTGAATTTTCCAGGGTGACTAGAATGCAGATTATAAGGCTTCATTTTATGCCTGCCTAACTGCAAATCATCAATTGTCTGACTGTGAAGTCCTTCTTTCTTGCACCGCAGGCGTTTAATGACCTGATAGAGTCCGGCCGGCTGGACACAGAGCAGACCGACGTCCAGCCTTACGTGGTGGACGGCCGGGTCTACCTGTCGGAACTGTCCCACGGCATCAGGAGGCACTACTACTGGACACCCAGCTATGGGCCGGACGTGGAGAAGAAGAAAGACGATCTTCTGATGTGATGTCTTCTTAAAGGCATCCAATGCGATTTCAGGGCAGCAAAACTGGAAATATTCTGAATAAGGCAATCTTTGTGATATTGACACATACCGCTTCACATTAGCACATTTGAGTCAGTATTTTATACTTTGAGCATTTTAAAAATGCAGAAACAAGCCCCAATTTGAGTCCTTTATTTTCTGGGAGGTACCCTAAAAATCAGCCGAGGGCCCTTCCAGTAACCATTTTCCATTGGAATTTTTGGATTTTTTGCTCCATGAGGGTCAATATACACTGGGATAGTGTGGTTTTAACTCAGTAAGTAGATAACTAGAACATTGTCCTTGAAAAATTGGGTTTCCAAGCCCTAAAACTGCACTGGATGCCTTTAACAACACTGTATATAACACAGGGCTCTAGCCAGCACCAGTTTTTCCATCAATTGCAGGAACTTTTTAAACCAATCCGTTAAAGGCATCCAATGCGATTTCAGGGCAGCAGAACTGGAAATATTCTGAATAAGGCAATCTTTGACGTATGTCGGAACTGTCCCACGGCATCAGGAGGCACTACTACTGGACACCCAGCTACGGGCCGGACGTGGAGAAGAAGAAAGATGATCTTCTGATGTAGTGCAGGTTCACTGGACTTGGATCCAGACTTGTAAGAATGTTTAGGTTCAAGTCCAAAAGAACCGAGTCCGGACTTATTACTATAAAAGACCATTTCACATACCCCTTTTCTTTCCAAACCAGCTAAAACCTTCCGTAGCTTGCAAAATCTTTGCCGCAAAATGAGAAAACGTTGCCATTGGGCATCGTCAAGTACCTGCCTCCATGTTATGTGGACAAAGTTTCACCCAGACAACATTGCAAGGTTGCCAACATGCAATTTTGTATATGCCATGGGTTTATATATATATATATATATATATATATATATAGGTCTGAAACTAAACCTAAACCTCTGGACTTGAATCTGGACCTGAACCTAAATGTGGGTTTAGGTATGCAGCACTATTCTGATGTGATGTCTTCTCAACAACACTGTATATAACACATGGCTCTAGCCAGCACCAGTTTTTCTGATGTAACACTGTATATATAGACCAATGTAGAAAAGGCAGATGATCTGTTGGTGTGAAATACAAACTATAGTTTTGCTAAAATTTTGCTAAATCTTCTTTGTGTGTACAGTAACTCATGTGGAGAAGAATTGCTGTTAATTGATAAAACACATTATGTTATCTAGTTCCTCTATCAGGTGTATACATTAAGTTATAGACCCAAAGGAAAGATTATGTGAAATACGATTATGTAAAATCAGCTGTGTAAAATATTATTTGTCCTTGTTATGTGTAAAAGCTATATTGACCTGATGTACAGAAGAAAGACGATTTGTGGATGTGAATGATGACTTTATTGCTTTATCACTTCTCTCTCTTAAAATGTAGTCTCTTGGGACCATTGCGTTGGTTATACAGGGTTAGGTAGCAGACGTCCTGGCCCTTATTTTTCAAAATAGACGTTCAAATAAAAAAAAAATTCTCTGTGTGTTGTTTGATATGAAATTGCTTGACATGATTTAGCATTTTGTGTATATCTTCGGCTGCCAGGCAACAATCTTACCTAGATTTAGTAATTTTTAGGGCATCATTTTTAATCTCAGGTATGGGCTTTAATGTATTACGACCACCTCCACCACCTAAACTTAGATAAAATCAACCCACAGGACAGAGACAAGTGGCGTGCTGCCATCAAGCCCCAGTTGTACAGTGCAAACACGTCTAACCCTCGGAAGACGGGGAACAACAGACGATAAACCGGACAGTGAGTGAGAGAGTGAGTACCAAAGTTCTGGATTGAAGGCATGCAAGGGGACGTCCCTTGTTGTGGCCTTAGTGTGACCAGGCCTGTTAGAAAACCACAGACATACAGCACAAGCCTGCGTCCATCTTCCCCAGCTCGCCCAGAGGAAACTGCACCCGCTCATAGTCAGTCAGTTTCGCCTCAAATACCTGCAGAAGCAGAAATAAGCAACAAATGCTCAATCTATAAGCATATGAAATTAGAGCTGTGTACCTAAACAAATTTTAGGTACAGGTACAGGTACAGGTACACAGGTTTAGGTACAGGTCCGGACCTGAACCTGTACCTGAACAATTCGACCAATTTATATGCTCTTCTGAACTCCTTCAATAACAAAAAAAAAAATAAATAAACTTGATACAATGTAGTTAAGGTTTATTCTTTGTTTATGGCGAATGCTCAGATAAAATATAGGTGTTTTTGTTTTCATGAACACACTGTCCTTACACAGGGACCCATTGTTAACCAGCTATTTACACATTTGAGGTCACAAATAGGCATAAAATTGGTGTGAAATTGTTTAGGTACAGTACCGGTACTGAGGGATTAGGTATTTTGGACCTGTACCTAATCAATTTTTCCGGTACAGTATCGGTACTGCGTACCGGTACACAGCTCTATATGAAATGTATCACAACTAGGACTGATCGATACAAAAAAAGCCCAATCCCTTACATGGTATCCCTTCTAAACAGCACAAATATGTAATTGCACAACAAGTTCCACTGACCGCTACTTCATTGTGACCCAGGAATTGATTTATGATGATGGTTTATTTTATTTATGATGACTATTCTTCCACATTCTTTTGCTGCTAGTAATCCGATGTAAATCGGGCTAAGCAGTACATAAGATGATGACATGTATGTTAAAAACTTGAGTGATATACTAGTACATGTAAGGCATTATTGTAAATATCTAAATTCGTTGAACCAAAGTGATATTTTATCAATCTGTAGACTCCGACTTCCTGCTATATTGAAAATGTCTCTGCACAATGCAGTCTGCAGGTGGGTATTTCTAACACTGATGTTGTTTACCTCAATGCTGTCGGGCGCATCGTCCTCCACACAGTGAATGACGGTACCGTTGACGTGTATACAGGCCACGCCCTCCGGGTCTGGTATCCAGATAGGTTCGTACTTGAAGTTACTATGCTTCAGAATCGTCTGCAAAATGTCATGAAATCCAATATATCATGAAAAAACATAGTTACACAAGATCTTATTATATGGTCGGCCGTCTTGGATTTTGACCGATGACGTCATCAAATTAGCATACATTATTAATATTTAATGATCAAAATTATATGTAATTATATATAATTATATAAGATGTTAATAATGTTAAAAAAGAAGTGCAATTAAACATAGAACCTAGAAAATTGTAATGTCTGAACAAAAATTACTGATTTTTTCAAAAAAATGCCTGTCAGAAACCCATTGCCATGGCAACACGAAAAATCAGGAATTTATCTAATTAATATGAAATTTTTGCCAGATATATTTTGGGAAAAGTCACAAAATTTGACGGTTCTAGCGCAAGCTGTTCAGGCGCTATCCGAGATGAAAGTGAGCGCGGGCCTCAAAAGCCCCCCCCCGTCTGAATAGGGTTAAAATGAAAATACTAGTAGATATCCCCCACCAACAACAATGTCTAACGCTGCGTCTTTCAAAATTGAAACTGAATGTTTCTCTCCAGGTTTTTAATTCTGCGTGAATTTTTAAATTGTATTTGTAAATTAGCGACAATTCAGATCTTGTATGAGTCTGTTCAATGCTAATAAAGCTTTTCTTATGTCTTTTAATTATGCAGAATGTGGGACTATTCATTATCCACTGCCTTCAAAGAAGAATTTGAACCCCATAATACTAGTAGCTAGCGTAGTACTAGTAGTAGAAGTAGAAGTTTTTTTCCAGTTGTTACCTGTCCCCTGTTACTGTATTGCAATGAGTATTATACTTGATTGTAAAAGCAATTAGCCTTCGGGCATATGATTTTGCAAACTAAAGTTTCTACATTTTTATAATTCATCCTACCTTCCATGCTATCTTGCCTCCCATGTTCTTGGCCACCGTTAGTAGCCCTGGTCCCGCACAGCACATTACGCCTTTCAGATAGTAGTCCGGCCATTCGACCGGGATGACGGTAATAGGGTACTCTGGGAACGTTTTGGCCAGGGCTTTTCGGCCAGCTTTGTTGGAATTTACCGACGCGCCGACGAAGAACTCCTTTCCTGAAGAAGAGAAGATACGTGGTGTTCCATGAGGCAAATCTGAACTGTAGTATATAGTAGAGGAGATTCATTCCTCAAGCTAACCGACATCTTGCACTCACAGTCAGACGAATTTTATCAGTAAAATTGCACTGTATACTAGTAAAATTGCACTGTGTACTAATACAATTGCACTGTATACCGTAAAATTGCACTGCATACTAATACTATTTCACTGTATTCCGTAAAATTGCACTACATACTAATCTTATTGAACTGTATTCCGTAAAATTGCACTGTATACTAGTAAAATTGCACTGTAATACATGTCTGTATTCCGTTAAATTGCACTGTATACTAGTAAAATTGCATTGTATTCCATAAAATTGCATTGTAATCCGTAAAATTGCACTGTATAAAATATACACTTGACAATACACCGTACAAACCTGTGAAGACGACATCACCGCCCTCCAGACACGCGGTTTCGTTGTGGATCCTGTCGACTTCCAGTCCGAGGTTTCTCAAACACTCCTCCACAGCGTCAAGCTTAGAAAAAACAACAACAAATACAGTTATCAACTTCTGTTGCAGATGTATGGTGTACGCCAGGCCCTCCTACGGTGTATGAATAGTAGAATTCACCAAAGTAATAAATGAATGAATGAAGACCTTTATTGTTTAGAATTAGTTCCAGACGTTCATGTTTTTACTTGAACCTAAACATTTTTACAAGCCCGGAACTAGATCCAGCGAAGCGGTACACAGCACTAGTTTTGTCTACACTAGTTTTGTTTTTAATCTATGATATTTTTGTAAATAATGTATTAAATTCCTTGACATTGTATTGTACAAAACTTGATGTTTAAAAAATGTATGGTATTTGATGTTTATTGTATAACATTTCATGTTAATGATGTTCAATATTGTAGTCTGCTTTTGTATTCATTATAATTATAATATGTATTTACATTGTACATGTAGTGTTGGGAGGACAACTTGTAAAGGTGTCAATGCACCTGTTTTGTCCTCCCTTCCACTTGTATACTTGTACTTGCGGTAAACTCAAATAAACAAACAAATAAACAAATGCACTCTCACCTCCTTTCTCCTAGGTATTCCCCATGGCCTGGTGACCAGTGCTTTGTTGCCTACCACCACACACGTGTCCCCAACAAACGCACAGTCAGGAGTCGACTCATCCGCCGGGATGACGGTCACCTGGGTTGGGCAGCAAGTACTCGTAAATTGGATAAAATTTGAAAATCTAACATTCCTAACAAATTGAAGGTCCAAGTCTTTAGTACCCTCGTAGAGCCGGTGTACATGTGTTACGCTGAAAGGCGGTTATACCGGCCATGCTACTATTCAAACAATATACATGGGGGTCTTCCGAGGCTGTCTCAAAAACTCACCCACCGCAGGGTAAAACTTGCAGGACATTGTTATAGAGCTAAGCAGGAAACCGTCTCTTCTGTCCTTCTCCGGAAGCCAAGAGGTCGACTACACTGTAGAAGCCTGACTGTTACCGATACCTTAACTAGAGACACTGGCATAGAACTCGAAAACTTAGGAAATGTAATGTAAGACAGAGAGAACTGAAGAGTTGTATGTGATGGCATAGTGCCCGGCTGATAGGCCGCTAATGTATGTATGTATGTTCATGTATATTCATCACTCTGGAAGATTTGACCAATCTCATTAATGCTATGCTATAGGTATTGGTGCGCCAGCCACTTTAATTTTATGTTTATGTTATTTTATGTCATCTTTATGTTTACATTTGTATTATGTTTTATGAGCAGCGGATTCACATAAGAACAACAAGTGCTTCCTATCTAATGCTCAAAAACCCATGTGAATAAAATAAAATAAAATGTATGTATGTATGTAGGACGGTTACCTCTAGCCCCAGGTCCCGCAGTGTCTGTATGTACTTCTCCTGCTCTTCTCGGGCCTTAACAGGTTCAACCAGGTACTCTTCTTCGTCGAATCGCCCTTCCTCGTCCGATTTGATGGCTTCCGACTTCTCCCGAATGGAGTCCGGAATTCCCCGAACCAGGGCTCGGGTAAACTTCGGGAAGCCGTCGGTCGCGCTAATCTTCTGGGACTGGTCCATTGCCATTACTAAGAAACGAGTGCTGGGTTACATCATGTTACAATTTTATGACAGGAGGGATTTAGACTCCTGTTTGGCCATATATGTGAATGTTTTTGAGTACGAATTAACAGAGCAGACCACATGCGAAGGTAAACATTATGTATTTGCAAATGTTACCTTTCTAGTTTCACATTACATGTATTTATTCTGTTGTGGTCTCAGTTCGTGAGCTACTACTTCATTGAAACTTTATTTAAGCCATGCAATTATGCTACATTGTAATTACATGTGTTAGTCTGACTGAATTTGTCTCAAAACTGGTTGTTCTTGTTTTTGGTAAGACGCACAAGGGGAGTGCGCTGCGTAGTTATTGTTTCCTCACTATTGTCTGCTCATTTGATGCACATTTTTTTTACAAGGTTTGCCAATGTTTGACATATTTTGGACGGTTTTGTAATGTAAGATTTATTATAGAAGCAATATAGTTATGAGTTGAATATGGTGACGATTTGTCGCGAATCGCTATAGGGGCTGAGTTGTCTAATCTTACTGAGCTTGTACTAACAGTACAAAACTGGTGCGAAACAAGGAAATGCACAAGCTACGAATCGAACTCGGCTCAAAAAAGCCTATTCCCAAAACCCTAATCCTGTACGCCACGAAACATTACGATGTTAAAGAAGCGTTCTAATAATACAGTTCAAGTTAACCGTTCTGTGATATTGCGAGTTTCAAATGACAACGACCACATACGAGACTGAATTTAGCGGCAGCGAAACTTCTAGCTACAAACTCAACATAAAATGACAGAGGTTCTGTCTAAACAAACAAACAAACAAACGAACTAAAAGATTCCTGTTGCAAGTATGATACAGGTAACGATGTCGTTAAGTAGGGGCATTATCATTACATAGCTTTAAACAGTGTTTAGAGTTAGATGTTCAAGGGTTAGGTGTACGCATAACAAGTTGTTCGGTGTAATGTTGCCAGCTGCCGCCGCGCCGCGTGCCTGCGAAGCTGGTGTATTACGCCGAAGGGAGGTTATACCGGCTGTACCGATACAGATACAGAAGCTGGTGTGTTACGCCGAACAGCGGTTATACCGGCCGACTATACAGATACAGAAGTTAAAGATATCACTACTTACTGAGTTTCTTGTCAGGCCTAAGACGGGGAGATTGGTGTCTGGAGATCTTCTCGGTTGCGGAGACGAGAAAATAAACCGGATGGTAGTTGAGGAGGCTCAATTTATCAACTGGCCTGAGCAATTATATATGATTATGCCAATGACATACAGTAGTCTGACTGAATTGTCTTGTCGTGTTGTCTTTCGCTCTGTTCAGACGGAAACGCTGTAACCGCATTCGATCCGGATTCCACCAGCAAGCAGGTCGTTGACCTCTGATACTGATAAAACGCTACCTTACGTCTCCCAGAGTACATGTACACGCTAATCGTAGAGTCTGGGCTCTCTTAAAAACAATTACGCAGTTGGATTTCAGGTATACAGTTAAAACTTTATTTGCGGCAAGAAATCATGCTAATTAATTAAGTAGTCTGATCGAACGCCTAGTAAAACCGGTTGTCTGCTCATGTAATACAATCTTTGTGATGTAGACATCCCATGATGTCTTCTCCACGTAAAGGCAGTTTGAGCACCCTCATGAAAGAGAGTTGAAACCGTAAATAAGTCTCATGCTATATATCGGAATTCAAGAAATTCTTTTGTGTCTTAGTCAGATTTGAAGATCCATAATTGTATTTCTTACAATGAGTGCAGATTTTCAGTGTCTTACAAATAAGCTACTGTATATTGAGTTGATTTCAATCAATCTGATACATATTGCAGGGATATATACGAGAGAGAGAAACATATATACATTGTAACAGAAGGATGATATGTTTCACAAAAAAGCTCAAGGTTGACTTTAGCTATACAATTTTATTTCACCACACAATCTTGGATACAGATATGTACATGTCTGATGAATATGTAATCACTGATAGTATTAAACCCACCACATTTTAACACAGACGTGCTAGATTTTATCAGGCTGATCACAATATATCTCATCCTAAATTCTATTGATTTCATTTAATTTTTTTGGCATACACAATAAAATTGAAAAAAAAATGTTTAAGTACAAATTCAAATACATGTGGCAGAAACCTGCCCAAGCACAATTGATTTTGAACTATGCAAAAACAACAGAGTCAAACTTATGCAATATCATGTATCACATCTAAATACAGTAATAGATGTACTAAATACAGTAAGAGTATACTATATGTTTTATATATAGATGAACAAACCCCATCTCAGAATATCTTTTGTTTTGCCGCCATGAAACTGCAGCTTGCAAGCAACAGCAGAAAAAGTTTCCAATTGACTAAGACTCTTCTTAGAAACTTCGAAAGTCTGCCCATTCACAGGTGGTTGATCATGAAAAAACACATCGTTTCTCGTTCTCTTAGTACACGCTGTGGAAATTACTAGCCTCTACCAGGCTTGGGGAGGCGGCTGGAAAGAGTAGAAATCGGCCAAATAGAAAGATAAGCATGCCAAGGGAGTTTGTCCGTTGAGAGAACATTTTTTTTTTGGGGTGCGGCGAAATATTCTCTCAACGGACAAACTCCCTTGGCATGCTTATCTCTTTATTTGGCCGATTTCTACTCTTTCCAGTCGCCTCCCCAAGCCTGGTAGAGGCTAGTAATTACATCTCAGACAGACCGTCGGGATGTGAGAATCCGTCCCTTCGCGACCATGGTGCGTTGCGCGGCTTTCCGAAGTTCGCTCAGGCTCGCCGCGCGTAGTTGACACGTCGTCCTGTCAAGCACAATCTTCCCGTGCCACTTCGCTTCTTCCAAGACCAGTTTCTTCCCTACGACATCCTTAGAATCGCAGAAGTCTTGAACCTGTTTGTTGACTTCCTTAAAGTCTTGTAACTCGTCTTGAAAATCCTGACCTTGCTGTCGTATCTTGTCCTTGAGAATGCCGACAAAGCGTTCGTACAGCAGGTAATCTGCGGCTGCGAATGTGCGGTGGTTGTCACTCTGCCTGTCGGTGAGCTGCAGCGGACGGTGTACCTGTAAGAAACAGGAGGAGCGAGTAGAAACAGATAAAACCCCTCCTCGTCCCTCGGCTGAAAAGGTCTAGACCCATCGGCCGGGTCAGTTGGTAGCGCCTATAAACCCCCCACTGTTACACTACTCCCTTTCTTTCTTTCTCCTCCTTTTCTTTTCAAGATTCGTCCTCGAGTCTTCCGAATTCGACATCCCTGGAGCGGCAGTCTTTGCCAGAACTCCCAGGGCTGGTGTGGGAACCACTGTAAGAAACAGGAGCGAGCAGTAGAAACAGAAAGAAACCCTGTTCCCGGGTCGGGGTTCGAACCCACGACCTCCCAAGTACCGGCTTCAGACTCCGACGCTCTAACCACTCGGTCGAAAAGGTCTAGACCCGTCGGTCGGGTCAGTTGGTAGCGCCTATAAACCCCCCCACTCACTAGTACTCCCCCTTTTCTTTCGAATCTTCCGAATTCGACATCCCTGGAGCGGCACTCTTTGCCAGAACTCCCAGGGCCGGTGCGAGAAACACTGTAAGAAACAGGGGCGAGCAGTAGAAACTGAAAGAACCCCCTGGTCCCGGGTCGGGGTTCGAACCGCTCTAACCACTCGGCCGAAAAGGTCAAGACCCTTCGGCGGGGTCATTTGGTAGCGCCTATAAGCCCCCCCCCCCACACATTGTTACATACCTTACAGCAGGTTTTGTTGGCGTACAGAATGTCTCTGGTTTCCCAGCACATCTCGCGCTTCAATGCCACTAGCGACTCGTCCAGGTACTCCAGGATGAGGACGAACTTGAACTCGGAGACGATGCGGTCAACGAACCTCTTCGTCCGCTCAAGGTCTTCCGAGAGACCAAGGGAGTACCCAAAGCTGTATGCCTAGGACAGAAACACAATTAATTGAATTACATGTACTTCAATCCACACTTCACTTAACCGCGACGGGACCGACATCGTCTACCAGACAGATACCTTTGACCCACTGTTGAAGTAACACTTGACAAGCTTCGTGACAAGCTTCACTGGGTCAGTCAACTGAGGAAGACCAGAGTGACTGGTCGAAAGCTCTAGGTGAGAGAATTTTTTGTGTTGGATCAAAAGTGCTAACTTTAAACATGTACTTCAATCCCACTAGCAAAGAATTAAAGAAATATAAATTACCTTGAATCACAACTGCAATGCCAGGGTATGCAAAATCAATTGGCAAGTGATAAATATACTTCTCTGTCCATTATTTTCCTATCCTAAACGAGCATTTGCAATGTATTTGCCTAAGCTTCTAAGTTCTGACACCTATTTGATTACAACAAGGTCTCTCAATGCGCAGTACAATTCAGAAACTTATCATCGATAGTATGATCTTACAATTGTCAGTCTTACATAGTTCAGAAGGTTTCTGAACAATTTTGTCATTGAATTTTAGTACTCTAAAGCTTCTTTAAAGTAAGTTACTGAAATCTTTGTAACCAGTTGTTACAACCTTCTTACTCTGTTACGTATACGTCTCATCATCATAGACATAGGAAAAGAACCGTGTATAACATATACGTGCACAGTATGATATGATGACTTCTGACCTGAAAATTTTTAGTGAAAGAGTACGGTTTCCTCTTCATCCTCTGTGAGTGGAGTTTCCTCTCCCAGGTGTAGGGATCGTCCAGAAAGGTCTGTATGGGTTGTTTCGTGGGGAGGTTGTACAATTTCTGTAAGTCGTACTCAGAGAAACAGGCCTGGAGGTGGTCTAGGGGATGTCGTAAGATGCCCAGGTATATCTGTAAGAAATTATGTGGGTAGGTTAAATATTTGCCCTTATTGTATAAGTCAACAGGAATACTAGAAAGGTAACATTTGCAAAGCAAATGCATAATGTTTACCTTCGCATATGGTCTGCTCTGTAATTTTTTACTCGAACACATTCATATATATGGTCAGACAGGAGTCTAAATCCCTCGATGTAACCCAACACTAGTCACCATGGTGACAGGCGCCTGGTTCACATCATTGACCTTTAATATTGTTGCTATGGCAACGCTTACTTACCATGTCGTTTGGGAAGAAATATTGGAACATATCCGGCCTGTAGACTGCCCTGTCCACTATGACGTCATGCTCCAGTCCGGGTTTGAGAGGAAAATAGTTCCCTGGTCTGGCGGAGGGATACATGGAAAAGGGAGGTAAAACATCATTTTGTGCTTCTTAAAACCAACGTTTGTAAACAAAACAATCCGACAAATGCAACTTTTGCAGAGCGTAATCTATAGTTTCATAAGCATGCCCTTTTAATTCACAATCCAAACATTACATTGTAGTAATTAAAAAAATCCCAACTTGGTGCTGAAAAGCCATCCACACTTACTTACCCACAATCTATACTTGCTCTGAAGATCAAATTCAAACCTTGATTTTAATCAACTTGATATATAACGTTATATAACGTTAATACTAGAAATGCAACATTTGTAAGGCAAATGCATAATGCTTATTACCTCCATGAAATGTGTCATGGAGGTTATATTTTCAGTTGCGTTTATCTGTCCGTCTGTCCGTCTGTCCGTCCGTCTGTCTGTCTGTCCGTCTGTCCGTCTGTTGGTCAACAAGATAACTCAAGAACGCCTGGATGGATTGGTTTCATACTTGGTGTGTTGGTAGGGTGTGACGAAACCTGGAAATGATTAGATTTTGGTCCCCCTAGTGGCTTCCCTTGGTACTGCAGCGCAACTTCCGGTTTTGATATCTCGCGATCTGGACATGCTAGGGTCATGAAATTTTGATGGAAGGTAGCTCTCGTGCTTGGGAAGAAGTCACATGAGTTTGGGCCCCCTAGCGGCTTGTTCTGGAACTGCAGGGCACTTTCTGGCGAAATGTTTAAAAGCCAATAAGTCCAGACAGGAACAACATATTTTCGTTATTTTTGGTGTGTAGGTAGCCGAGAGAGAGATGTACATAATTAAATGCAAATTATGCAAATGAGGACTTAATTGGCATAATTAATGAGGAAATTCTATAATTACAGTGTTTTACATTATACTACTTACATACATGTAATGTATGTAACCTATGGCAGGTGGAACTTCAACAGATACTAATTATGCAAATGATGACCTAATTTGAATAATTAATGCGAAACCTCTATGATTTCGTAATGGTGAATGATGAGAAGGTCATACTTGGGACATCTGTAAGTTAATCAAAAGTTAACATACATCACGATACATATATCATGTTAATGCAGAGGTCATTTGCACAATTAAGGAAGAAATTTACATTTACATATCAAGATCATATTTCATGGAGGTATGAGATCTCGGAATTCTAGTCTTCACATCTGGTCTGCTCTGCTAATTCTTACTCAAACATTAATATATATAGTGACGGGAGTTTAAATCCCTCCTGCTATAAAACTGCAACATGATGTAACTCAACACTAGTTACCATGGAGACAGACGTCTTGTTCAGGTCATTGACCTTATTGGTTTGGAGGAGAAGAAGAAGAGGAAACAGAGCAAAAACAACATGTTTTCCTTCGGTAAGCTTAATAATAAATTCAAAGTTTCACCTGATTTCAAACGGCCATCCCAGCAGGTCCCCCGTACTGGGCAGTACGGCGTTCAGGTCATGGGTCAAACCGAACCGGTACAAGATGGCGGCCACCGTGGTGGAGCCTGCGCGGTGGGTCTTCACGAACATGAACCTGGTGACGGGCTGGGTACAGGGGTCAGGGGGGTCACTGGAAGAAAAATGTCCAGACTATGCATGATGTACAAAATGACTAATAAACTGGTGGACATCCCAACTACTAAGTACCTAATACCAGCCCAGAAAAACAAGAAATAGCCATGCCTTCAACGGTATCAGCCTGTGTTATCCACCAAGGGTTGAGGTGTTCAAGAATTCATTCTTTCCTAGAACTATCGCAGAGTGGAACTCGCTGCCACCAAGTACAGTAGGGGCATTGTCATTAGAAAGCTTTTAACACAGCGTTAGATACTCAGCGGTTAGGTGTAACAAGTCGTTCGGTGAGATATAGCCAGCCGCCGCACCGCGTACCGTATAATTTCTTTTGTCATAAATTATCAAAACCTTTTGGCAGACCCTGTGGTGGAAGAGACATTATATCCAAGTCCACAGTCCTCCATGTCTATGACGTCATCTCTCTCCTGAAGCGAATCCTGGTCTCCATGACCGTCGAACATCACCATGGTAACGACGCCCGTTGCTAGGAGAACCGTGGTACTGAGAACGGCCGCTCGGGACGTCATGTTTACGTGTGGTTTGACAGAAATCCAGGCAGGAATGTTAAAGCTCCGTTTTCATATTTGTGCTGTCGCCCGGTCGAAACACGAAAGTTGTTCGACTGGTTCGGATCGACTAAATACTAAGTACTCAATTTAGCTGGAGGGGAGACTTCAACTTCAGAATTGCAGGAGATATAACACCTGTCCATGCACTTTTTACACAGTGACAAGTAGAGTCAGACCATAACTACGTATAATAGATTATCTTGGTCCGTAAGTAAGGCGAAGGGCACATTTTTCTATACAGATAGTACTGCCCCCTAAGTTGGAATGGACTCGCCCGGTTATCCGGGTTCGGTGTCCCAACAAGCAGTACGTTGGCAGTTGTGATAGTACCCATAAAGAAACCAAGAGTGACTTGGCATATCCATTACCAAGCCTATGATCACGTCCGTACTGTAATGCTCGGCGACGGTACTATTTTCTTTTGTATTATGTCTAGCAACAGCAGTAACATTAACGTTAGGTTTTTTTTTAATTCCAACATCTAATCACAAGACGTGGTGACGGCACACTCAATTTTTTTCACTTATATTAATACCGTCACCGACACAGAAGACAATACAATACTCATTTTGACCTGGGCGAAGTGAGGAAAGTCATGTAAAGTGCCTATCCCAAGGGCACAAGATCGGTGGCATGTAAGGACTCGAACACGGGACCTCTTGGTTCCGAGTCGAGCACGCCGCCGCTACGCCACACGACCCCACGACCCCATCCCACCCCCTCCCGGGAGGTTCATCAAACAATACCGAACTGTTGAACAGCGCAAGTGGTTAAAATAACACACAGCTACAGGCACCCTTTGTCATACAGGTGTAGTTTACAACAATATATAATGTCCTTGTTTACAACCAACAGCAAGACTGAGCCCTATGAAACGTCAGAAAAATCCCCGGCCGGGACTTTCCCTGCGTCAATCTGTTGCGCAGGTAAAATTGTCGGCCCGCATCTTTCAGTCCACACTTCTCACCTGAAGTCTCCTCGTGCCGACATCTTGGGACGTGAGTAGTAGTAGTAATCTGTAATATAATAAGTTTTTGTTAAGTTGTTCCATCATATATATGACTTTTTTGTGCCGTGTTTGATATCAAAACATACGCGATTCGTGGTTGCCAAAAACGTAATACACGTATAACTGAATGACTTAAACAGTAGATATTGAACCATTTTCCGCTGCCAGAATACGGCAGTCACGTCTAGCAAACTACGAGGTATAAGATATACTCCAAAAGTATCCCTGGTAATGCTGAAAACAGGCAGTCGCTAAGATGACGTATTGTTGGTTCTGAGCCAATGTAGGGGCTACTTACGGTCACGATTGATAATTATTCAGCTATGCATGATTTTCTTGCGTAATCAATACATTTAAACAGCAGTTTAATGTCTTAAAAAGTGTATATACTAATTGAGAAGGTAACGGGGCCATTGGCGCGATTGGTGTGTCAGGGGTATACTGAAAATGGACCCTTTCTCGTACTTTCATTTTCGGCCGCCGCCCGATAGGTCATATGAAACCCACACCTTGCCTTCAGTACGGTACTCTATATTCATCCCTATATATAGCCCCAGTCAGGGACTTTCCCTGTGTCACCATCAAGAGAACAAAAAGACGTAAAGTCCCGGTCCCAGGTACGTACAGCAGGTGCGCATTTGGTGAGGGGCGCTGCGTCAGGTAAGTCTGTAGATCTGCGGGTCCTTCATGTAAACAATTTGGGACGCTAGGAGTTAGTTGTGTTTGCTATTATGTGATACAGTGAGCATACTGCGTGTCTAAAATTAGTGGAAGCTGACCAAAATGAAATTTGTCGGTCCTAATTAGCTCAATATACGAACTCTCCAAGCAAAGGTTTGGGTTTGGGGTTATTTTTGGTGTGTTTTTAGGCTTTTTTGTCGGGCTTTTTTTGCACTGGAATTTTTTTTCACCTAAAAAAGAAACCCCAATAAAGAAGCCTAAAACACGCCAAAAATAAGCCTAAACCCAAACCTCTGCTTGGAGAGTAATGCTCCTGTGACAGAAAATAGCAGTAGGGTCTCGATAAACTCTGCATTGAAATAGTCTACTTACAGCTGAATACTGTATTCTCAAACATGAGGAGAATCTAAAAAAAACTTATATTCTTCTCCCGCCTCTACCAGGCTTCGGGGGGCGCCTGGAAAGAGTGCCAAATCGAGAGCGATAACATGCCAGCACTCGAAAACTGTCCTCTCGAGCGGACCAACTCGTCTGGTATGTTATCGCTCTCGATTTGGCCAATTTTTACAATTTCCAGCCGCCTCCCAAAGCCTGGTAGCGGCTACCGCCCTGTACATGTACATTGTCTGCAGGTAGCGAGCTGAAAAAAATCAACTGTGGGACTTTCCGTTTGCGTCACTGGCTGACAATATCGAGGGCTGGGCGGGACTGTTTACCGAGCTGCTACGCGGATTGAATAGCCATAAAGCCCCCTGGCGCGAATACCCCTCTCTCTCAGTTGCGAAATGTACAAGCAATCTTAAAGGTCACGAACAAAGACAGCTTTGCAAACAATACTATCTATCAACAAGTTGCTACAGATCACAGACAAGAGAACAATAGACATATATAAAGCCCCCCTCTCAGTTTCAGTGGCCAATAGAGCAAAAACATAGCGGCGCTGCGAAACGCGGCAAAAACCTGGAGTTGAGCCAAATCCTTGAGCTTTCATATAAGTGAGAGGTCAGGTGTTTAGGGCTAGGGTTAGGGTTAGGGTTGGTATTAGAGTTAGGGTTAGGGTTACTACGGAGGTGGGATCATTGTTCAGGGCTAGGATAGGTTTAGTCTACCACATCACATCAAAACCCCTCACACCCCTTGTCTCAGGTACTAGTATATTGGAAACCGCCAAGTAGTGTTGGGGTCATGTATTTGGCGGTAACTTCGCGGGCGTTACGCAATCACTGATTACGTCATCCCACAATCCCTTGCGGGTGGATTTCCCCCAGAATTGATTGATACCATATGGGGGAATTTATCCTTCCTTCGGCGATGATTCTGCAGAAAGTGCAAATTCCCATTGGGACCGTTGTTCCACGTGCAACCCACAACGGTCCCTATGGGAATTTGTACCTGCGTAAAAGGAGTAGGAGAACTTGGCAAGAACTGTATATCCCAAGTGAAATTGATTGTGTGTTGTATGAAAGTATTGTAGAAAATGTATATTTTACTATTTCTATGTGTTCCATGAAGTTTATGTTACGAAGTTAATATACATTTCTAAAGGAAGTACAAGCTGTAAGCTTTCAAGATATGAAATAATATCTTTACAAAGCATCAGAAAGGAGAATAAGATGTTGTATTATATGGGCCTTGCAACTGAATAGTCAGTTCAGCACCTAGGACAGTATGTACCAATTAACTCACCTGTAATAATACCTGGGTAATTTTTTTCTCATGTATGTAATCCTGATTTTATCAGGAATTGTCAGAAATATTGTAGCCTTGATATTAGCATTTCATACATGGTTTTGGATACTATAATACAATGAGTTCACAAAAAATTATATTTTATTGCATTATTGCCCTTGTACATCATTACTACTAACACTAAGCCAGACTTGCATGTTGTTACAATTGTGTAAGGTCAATATTTGTGATTTAAACGGGGTAATTCAGCATTTTACAGCCCTGCAATTTACTGAGTGTTGTAAATAACTGGCTATTTGAAAACGGCATATTTCGGGGTGTATTTCCAAAAATGTGGTACCTTTCCGACTGTACACTGCCTAAGTTTTCGCAGGTAGGGCGAAAAAAATAATCTCCAAGCAGATCCCTCTCGGTGGCAAAAAGAGAGTATCAAATTGGCCAGGACGCCGGCCACCGACGCGTTGGTGGGATTAGCGACAAAAAAAAAACGGCCATATATAAAAAGGTAACGATCATTCCCCACAACCTCTGCTTGGAGAGTACAAAAAAACAACTGCGGGACTTTCCGTTTGCGTCATTGTCTGACAATGCCGAGGGCTGGGTGGAACTGTTTACAGAGTTGCTGGGTTACTATGATGAGAATTGAATAGCCACAAAGCCCCTCGGTGTGAATTCCCCTCTCTTAAGTTGCGAAGTGTACAAGCAGACACCTTAAAGGTCATGTACAAAGACAGCTTTGCAAATAATACTCTGAGGAATTCAATACTCTCACAATTACAAGCGTCGAGAAGGGAGCAAATAGCGGTCATTTCTTAAGCCAAAGACCGAACAGAGTGGAGGAAACTTGCTGCCCAATGTGCTACGCACGGAAGGAACTAAGTCTAAGTAAGTTCTGTAATGTCGGTAGACTTAAGTGGTGGTCATATACGATTATATAAAGTCATGACATTGCCAACCGCCCTGCCGTGGCAAAGTTCTTTCCGTGACGATCTCCCCTCTGGCTGTGCAATGTAGAGGGGTAATCTTACACCCTCACGGCATCAACAATAAGGTACATGTACTTTGTAAAGGTCGGTTTCATATAACAATAGAGAGAAAGAGAACTTTATTGACACAACAAAAGTAAAGCGACTGTAAAACATGTCAGCATTGTGACGACATTTCATCCCCGCCAAAATGTATAATGGATACCCCAAGCAGTGTCAGAGTATATATTTAACAACAGCGACACACATCTGACTTGAAACCGGAGAATGCAAGTCTAGCTCTCCGCGAAAAAAAACACACTTTTCACACCTGGATTCATGGATCTTATTTTCACAAAAATGTATAATTTCTTCAGTCGGAATGGTTAACATCAAATGACGAAGGCATGAGGTTGTGGAATTCTTGTTATGTCTAAAAATGGTGATATAAAAAACGAACAAAC